GGGAATGGAGCACTTTACCTTGGAACCTGGGGATGAATTTTTTACCTTCTAATTAACAATCCTGCTGTCAGATTTTTTAGGTCTCTACTGACAGGCACTGGAAGGAAAAAGAATTCTCCTTTTAAACATCTGTGACAGTCAATTATGCCTCAGTGTTTGTTCTTCCATTTCCTTGAATTGCGGCTTGTTGAAATGTCAAGTGTCATTGTACGTTGGGGCTGAAGGATATTTTCAATTTAGAAATGTAGCATAGTGAATCTTGTACACGCATAAAATGTTGAGAACAGAAAGATTGTGTTGAGGTTAAAATGCGCTTGCCCCCCCCTCCCCGTCCTCTCCACCCAACTATACAATGAGGAAATAAAGTCCTGACCGGGTAGCAGGAAAATCATGGCTCCTCTTTTTATCACAGGCTGGAATGACTGAAGGCAGATGTGTCAGGTCCTGATTAAAACTAGTTCAAGCAATGCAGTAATTTCCCCTTGTATTTTCTGCCAGTACTGGGGCTTGAACTCAGAACCTTGAGCTTGCAAATGTTCTATCACATGAGCCCCACGTCCAGCTGGAATTTCCTATTTATCAAAATTCCATTTACCATTTTCAGCCTTTCCTGAAACTCAAAACTTGGTAATTTGAGCATTTTAACTATGTTCACAATTTCTAGCTCATTTTATTTCACTTTCTATCATTCCTTGGCAACCTTGCTTGATGAATAATGATACTGATATAATTTTATCATTAAAAATTTATATATCTATGTATTTGTGGTACTGGGGTTTAACTGCTTGCTAGGCAGAGGCTCCACCGCTTCAACTGCAATCCCCACTGTGCCAATTCTAAGGGACTTGTTTTCTTTGAATGAGACTATACTTCATTGCCATGTCTATATTTTCAAAACAAGGATAGTTATATTACCTTTTCTGAAAGAGCTGAGTTGGTAGCTTATCCCCACCCCGCCCTGTCAGATGTCTCTGTCCACATAGGCTAGGCAAGCACCCTGTCACTGGGGGACTGGATTTAACCCCAGGCCTGGTTTTTCTAATTTTTCTACAAGGGACACACACACACACACACACACACACACACACACACACACACACACACACACAGCCTGGTGGAAATGGTTCACCCTTCTCCCCAATTTTGATTATTGTCTTTAAGTAGTTGTACAGAGGGGTTTCAATTCAACGTGTCAGTTTTTGAGAACAGTGTGTTTCGATCGACGTCACCCCTTCCATCGTTTGCTCGAAAACATAAAATGCAGAGGTGCCTGACTCAGGCAACCAAAGAGTTCTTGATCAAGTCAAATACCAGTAGCTAATACCTGTAATCCTAGCTACTCTAGAGGCTGAGATCTGAGGATCATGGTTTAAAGCCAACCCAGGCAGACAAGTCCATGAGACTCTTATTTCTAGTACAAAGAACTTTTCCATGTGTGCTAAGCTAAAGAAGAGCAATGCCATTAATTTCCTTCTGCTTTGCTTTCCTCCTTTTGTATCTTTCATGTCTGAGAGATGGAGATAGAGAAGAAGCAAAGTAAGATCTTTCTATGGTGTCCTAATTCTTCAGCATAAAAGACTACATCAGCATTCAGTTGAATATGGTGCAAATTTTATAAAACCATTTTTGACACTTTTTGGACCTATTTTCCTTTCTTACTTAAGAAAGAAATCAAAATTGCCAAAATATTTTCATTCTTCCCTCTACTAGGTTCAAATGTCTAACTCTAGAAGAATTCTGATTTGGTATTATATGTGTATATTGGGAAACGTGCTTCTTTTTTTATACATATTAAATAGTTCTTCTCGTATCTACATTTCCTATTATGATTGCATTCTCCCACCCTCCCTCTCTCCAGGCATCTTCCCCTTTTCCCACTGATAAGTTTTAAAATTCACAAGTATATCTTAAAGATGGAACTGCACTGTGCCAGATTAGATAGACATACAACAGAAGAGATCTTCTCATTCCAGAGACCCCAGTCTCTAGGCTGTGGGGGAATTCTAAGTGGGAGACACAAAATTTTTTCCATTGTACAACATTTTTTCCAAAGGACAAAGATGAAAAAAAAATGTTTGTGCTCCTTAAAAGTTCTGCTTTTATCTAGTTCAAACAACTGGCCTGGAGTAAATCTAAGACTCCCTAGCCATGAAAGAACACAGAACTATGTCATTTAGGAATTATTGAACTACTTGAAAGAAAATGGCTAAAAATGTATCATCAGTTTTGACTTGTCAAGGGCAACTGTCAATTCCATTGGAAAGTGACTGGGCTCTGTGTGGGAAACTCACAGGCCAAGACAATTGTCAGCTTCAAAATGTCCTTTGAGCTTTCCACTCAATACTAAAGACATTATAGGTCTTTTTAGTCTCTCCTTACAAGATACTCTCTAAAACTTGGGGAAAAGCATGTTAAGTGAAGTAAAACAGGCCCAGAGAGACAAGGGAAGCATATTTTCCCTGCTATATAGAAGCTAGATTGGGTGGTATATAAGTGTATACAAACAAATTAACTGAAAAATGGCAGATTCAAGGGAGAACTCAAATACTGTAATTCCTTAAAAAAGGCAAAGTCAAAGTTGAACAAAAGAAAGCAGGTACTTGAAAGGGGGTGGGGTAGGATCATGGGAAAAGGGTAGACAAAGGAAGAGGAGAAAAGAAGGGGGCGAATGTAGTCAAGAATTCAATGTACATCCTTCCAAATTAAGAAGAATGGGAGACGAAGTGGGGGAGGGGTGACACTGTAGTCATAAACTGCTTTGTTAAATGGCAACTCCTTTGTACAGCTACTTAAAAATAATACAAATATAAGCCGGGCGCTGGTGGCTCACGCCTGTAATCCTAGCTACTCAGGAGGCTGAGATCTGAGGATCTCAGTTCAAAGCTAGCCCGGGCAGGAGAGACCCTGAGACCCCTATCTCCAATAAACCACCAGAAAACCGGAAGTGGCGCTGTAGCTCAAGTGGTAGAGCGCTCGCCTTGAGTTGAAGAGCTGAGGGACAGCGCCCAGGACCAGAGTTCAGGCCCCACGACCGACAAAAAAAAATAATAATAATACAAATATAAATGGATAAATAAATAAGAAAATACTTTCAAACGATTGTGCTTGTGACCTTATCAGCTTAGTCAATGAAAGGAGAAGACTATGCCACTTCCTGTCCATTGGAGAAAATGTGAAATAAAAATATATAAATGAGAATTTAGAGAGACTGAAAAGAAAAATGCTAATTTGGGGTGTGTATGAATGCAGCTGAAAATATGCTTTCATGTAGGAGAAATACATGGCAAAGGACAAAAAGGGAAATAGGCTACAGAATATTGAAATAAACAAGAAACATGAGGAAAATTAAATAATTAAAGTCTGAAGGTGTGAAGAAGAAAAAAAGATGTTGATATTAACTTCTGGCTTATATAAAACATTTGAAATATCATATCAATTTGCTTTATATAAAATATTTCAGGGGGCTGGGAAAGTAGCTCAGTGGTAGAGTGCTTGCCTTGCATGCATTAGGCCCTGGGTTCGATTCCTCAGCACCACATAAGCAGAAAAAGCTGGAAGTGGCACTGTGGCTCAAGTGGTAGAGCTCAAGCCTTGAGCTGAAGAACTGAGGGACAGAGCCCAGGCCCAGAGTTCAGGCCCCACAACCAACTCTCCCCCCCAAAAAATGTATTGTAGTATTTTATAATGCCGTTTGAGAAGTAGGTAGGTGGTAAAGAGTTATATTCAGTTCAAGTCCTGGGAAGATAAATAAGAACAGCATTTTATAAAGTAACCCCGAGTCTTTTGTTGTTATTGTTTTTAAATTTAATTTTATTGTTAAGATGATGTAAAGAGGGGTTACAGCTACATATGTAAGGCAATCAGTATATTTCTTGTCGAACATAGTTACCGCCTCCCTCATTTTTTTCCCACTTTCGGTCCCCTGAAGACACCCTCACTCCCTCCCTGCCCCCAAATTGGATAGCTCATTTCCAACATAGTGTCTTGTGAGTATTACTGTTGCATTGCTTCCCCCTTGGTCCTTTGTCTCACCATTTTGTTGTTTCCCTTCCCTTCCTCAAATCAGATAAATGTGTATACAAGACACAGGGTACCAGAATCAAATACAGTGACCCCAAGTCTCAATGCTAAGGTAACAACTGGCACAGAGAAGCACAATGGACATGCAATTTTCTTAATTTATAGTGATACTTGTTTATTTGCACTCACATAGAATTATTTTCATCCAGGAAATAAAATGGCTGATGTAGGCAATGAAATCTTAGAGTCTTTCTTAGAATAAAAAGATAACACATTTTTTTCATTGCTGGACAATTTGGAAGTGCAAGCTGAGAATGAACAAAAGAAAGCAATCCTGTAGCCACACCACAGTTAACAGTTAGGCATGCCGTGTGGCAGACTTTGTTCCAGCATCTGTATAAAAATAAACATGTGAAAACTTTACAAAAAAGGCTACAAGACTTTTCATCATACCACCATAGAGTGTTAGCTTTAAATTTCCAAAACATTTGAAGAAGAAATGTTTTGAAAATATATGATTCAGGTGCTGATGACTCGTACCTGTAACCCTGTCTACTCCAGAGCCTGCAATAAAGAGGATCACAGTCCAAATATGCTAAATAAATATGCTAAATATTGTAGAATAAATATTTATTCTACAATAAATAAATATTGTAGAAGAAAGCTTATTCTGAAGGAAGAAAGTTTACAATGATTGGAGTAAAAAATAATAATCTATCCTAAGCCTTTTGGGTGGTGTGATCTTTAGATCACAGCTTCCTGAGTAGCAGGGATTACAGGTGTGAGCCACTGGTGCCAGACTTAACTGGACTTTTGATTTCATTAATCCTTATTTCTTTATATCACCCCCTGGATGGTAGGCATTTTACCAAAGGTATGAAATACCTCAGGTAAAAATAAGATATGCAGTTGCTATAGCCAAGAGTGTCAATTCAATCTATGATTAGTATTTTGTTTAATCAGGAACTCTTTTCTTCTAGTGTCCGAGCATCAGAAGACATCAATTTACTTATACCCTATAAGGAAAGAAACACCTACAAGAAAAAAGCAGATAAACTTTACTGTGGTGAAAGTACACACAAAGCAGCCAGTAAGTAAGCACGGTAGATGCATGTTTGTATTGTTATTTATAGACTGGTGTGAATGAAGGAAGGCAATATTCTATCTGCCAGGAATGAATTCCTTAACAAACAGAACGTAAGGCTCTCCCTTTAATAAGGGAGGAAAGTGGGATGTAGAGTTATTGGTTGAGCTCTCTAGGTGTGTGCATCAGGTCAGTGACACAATTGTAACATCACATCCTGAAAAGCTTGCATAAAGCGATCACCGAAGATCATTGTATCAATGACATAAATGCAGCACAGAGAACCATTTTGTGCCTGACCTCTCTTGTGTGCATCTGAGAATGTAGCTGTTGATGACTTGGCCGGGAGGATGGTGGCGACCTAAAGCTGGGATCCCCGATGGAGGAGTGGTACAGAAAGGCTTATCAGAGGGTGCAGCAATGCAGGAGCAAGAAGTTGTGCAGGGCTATTTAAGAGTAGGGTTACGATTGATAAAATAATATACAGTGAGTCTGGCATGGGTGGTTCATGCCTCAATCCTAGCTACTCAGGAGGCTGAGAACTGAAGATCGAGGCTGGAAGTCAGTCTGGGCTTTTAGTAAAATCCATGAGGCTCTAATTTCCAGTTAGCCAGTAAAAAGCCAGAAGTGGAGGTATGACTCAAGTGGTAGAGCAGCAGCCTTGAGCAAAACAATCCAAAGGAGAGAACAAGACCTGAATTCCAGCCCAGAACTCACACACACACACACACACACACACACACACACACACACACACACACACACACACAATTATTATTATTGTTGTTGTTATCATTATATACTGTAGATTTTACAAAGGTAGAAGAAAGGATTTGGAGTGTTTTCTCCACTACGAAGGATAAGTCTTTGAGAAGATAGATATATTTAACCCTATTTTAAACACTACATAATGTGTATATGAAAGAAAACTATATATACCATTTAGTATGTACTGTAGCTAATTTAAATAAGGATGAAAACATAGAGAAAATGGGAGATCCATAAAAACTATTTTCTAGTCTAGAAATCCCACAGCTACATATAAGGATGTATTAATCGAGTTTTTGGCTGACCAATAAAGATTTTATTAGAAACAAAAAGTAATTGTAAGCCAGGCTTTGTGTCTTAGCACTCGGCAGCTGAGGCTGAGACTTCATTGAGAATTTGAGACCAGCCTGGGTGAACAAAGAAACAGATCAGTTGAAACAACAACAACGACAACAAAAATCATTATCATAGGGAAGCATCCCATTTAGCAACATAGGTGAGAATGACAGATCTTATTCCACGCCTATCCATTAGGTGATTATCTTTTCATGGAGAACAAACACTGATGTTAGAGTTTCTAAGGAAACCAAACATAATCATTTGTTAACACTTAATGCTCATCCATAAATTAATCTACTCCACAGAATACATCTTTCTTCAGGACTATGTGAAATATTATACCTAAAGTCCTTTGACCAATGCCAGGCATATCTCAAGAACTAAATGCAATTTCATTAGTAATGTTACTGCTGTGACTCTGGAGCTGATGTCTTCAAGTCTATGATCGGCTGATTAACAGCTACATAAACTCAGGCATGAGACAAAGCCTCCAAAACCTCAGCAGCCCTGTCTGTCTCTAGGTACAAAAGATGACGAATCTCCATTAACTTGATATGGTACATTGGTCTCCAAGAGTAGCCTTGCAATATCAAGCATTATGGACAGACAACATTAAAATGTAACTTCTAGTACCAACATCTCTTCTCTCACTCTATTTAATCAGAAGCCAGGAGTGGTAATGTAGAATCATGGTATTGTGGTTTGAATGCTCTCTTGGTTTGCTTGCTCGGCTAGAGTTTTACCACTTGAGCCATGCCTCCAGTTCAGCTTTTTGCTGAACCACCGAACATGGAATCTCAATAGACTTTTCTGCTAGGGCTGGATTCAAACTATTATCCTCCATGCTTTAAGAAGTGCTCCAGGTAATTCTGAAGCATGTTGCATTAGTGATCCCCTGACTTAGCACATGTCTTGCTTGGTAGCAGTTGCTGAAGAGGGAGCCTTTTCCTTGGTACTGAGCTACTACCACGCCCAGCCAGAGGGCTGCTTTCTCTGTTCACAGGAGTATCAAGCACTATGAAATGGTGTCTTGAATGCAGCTTTTGTTGATTTCTGTTTCATTATCCACCTGTCATATGGAGCAAAAAAAAAAAATTCTTTTCACTTTGTTTAAGACTAGACTCTGCTTTTCAGGGCATGATTAAAATAGATTCCCATCATATCATGGTGCGAATAGTAAATGTCATAGCTACAAAGCTGTGGTTTGCATTATAGGGGAATGAAAATGTACCTGTGAAATTCAAGATGTTTTGTTAAACATGGGTGGAGGGAGGGATATGATTTCCCTTTTACAAAAGATACAAGTCTCTGAAACTGGAGCTTTTCCAAAAAGAGAGAATATCCATTTTCAAGGGAAACTGGCAAAAAAGAGTACAAAATTCAAAATGAAAAATAAATGGAAGGAAGCCTTGATTCATCTCTGTCCCTTTGAATAGAAAGAACCCTGGACTTATTTTGAACAGCTGTGTTTAGAGGGTTTACTGATTATTGCAGCTGTACAAGCTGAGTAATGAGAAGGTGAAATTAAAAAAAATTAACTCATGAATGTGCTAGCTTTTTCCAAGGAATTAATGCTATCTTTTCTTCTTCTCCTTCCCTAAACCTTGTTTTTGTGAAGATGCATTTAGGTCATTAAGCATCGGAGCCCTACGAGAGGTACCTGAGGTGAATAAACCTGCTTTTCTTCTAGACCCAGACAAATATTTTAGGAGAGAGCTGGAAGAGGAGAAACCCCATGTTCCAGCACGGCCTCTACTTTCTGAAAGTATGTCCTCAGCCCTCAACCATTCCCACATCTCTTTCCGTGCAAATTGGTCCATTTTCTAAGCATGGAAAGAACTACATTTCCTGTGTACAGTGGACAGTGAAACCAAATATGATTTGATTGTTGAGATTGACAGGTCAGCTGCCAATTCTGCTGTCAAAAAAGGAAAGTCTGGATGAGACACTGCCACCCTCACCCCATCCCAGCCAAATAACTTTAATTTTCCAAACTGATACCAGGGAAAGAGCCATCACGAAATTGCTTTAGAAAAGAGTCTCTGGCAATCTCGTTTTGTTCTTTTCAGGCCTCTATAAATAGAGGCCACTTAAAGTGTATTGTCTCCCTAGCTTCCAGCTGCAGAGAGAGGCTACAAAGAGAGTTCCAGAAAACTGAACTTGGAAAATACAAGTGAATGATCTCTGAAGATTTGGAAACAAGATGTTGAAAAGGATGCTCTTTTTTTTTTGGTTCTTTCTCTCTCAGACTATTTTTGTCTTTCTGAGTTTCTAAGAATTTAAAGAATAATTTCTGTACAAAAATCTCTTTTACAAGGTGGCGGCATGAGGGAGACAGGGGTTGGTACAGCACCTGGGTTCTATGGAGAGCATTGAAAATAATGAATGAAAACACACCAGTGGCCAACTTGTAACTGTCACAAGATCAGAACTGTCCTGCAGATGTCTGAGTTCTCAACTTTTCAAATGCTCCAACACTACATGGGTTCAGCATCCTCCTTGAGCAATGAAAACCCTTGGCTGTAGGAGGGTGCTTCCTATCTTGACACTAATAGAAGTTTTAACTTCTCTTCTTTTATTGGTCCCCAGAGGCTAGGAAGCACATCTGGTCATCAATTTTTCTTTTTAGAAGTAATTCCCCTTACAAGCTTGGAACAGCTGTTCCTCTCCTCACCACTTTTTCCAGGCTACTTGTCTGTGTTCATTATCTTTTCTTACAATTTTTCTTTGCTAAATTTATAATCTTTTGTGTGTTGTGACGTGGGTCATCTATAGTTTGGCTCAATTTTCTTTAAAAGCCTGAAGCTCATCATATTAGGGATCTCAATAATCTTTATTGCACCCAACAGATCTATCAATGTGTCAGCTATCATAACAAAATCAAACCAGGATGATCCACCTTTACAAATGAATGTGGGATGTATTTATTTTATTCTTGGCAGCCACAGAGAGGATCTGGGGTCACGAAGAGTAAAAAGGGATCCAAGGAGCTAGGGAAAAAAAATCCACAAAACACAAACAAACAAAAGATGCAAGCTGGGTCCTGGTGGCTCACACCTGTAATCCTAGCTACTCAGGAGGCTGAGATCTGAGGACTGCAGTTCGAAGCCATCCTGGGCAGGAAAATCTGTGAGACTCTTATCTCCAATTAACCATTTGAGAACCAGAAGTGGGGCTGTGGCCCAACATGATAGAGTGCTAGCCTTGAACAAAAGAGCCCAGGCCCTGAGTTCAAGCCCCATGACTGGAAAAGATATAAACAGGAAACAGAATGTTCAAAGAGCAATCAGTTGGAGAGGGACAGGTAATAGTTAGAAGCAGGAACCTGTACCTCTCTTCAGCAGCTGGAGTCCCTGGCGTTTGAGGTATATTTGATATTCTGTAAAAGGAGGAAAGTGCAGACAGATTCTGCTTATGGGCTAGAAAGATGTGCATATGGACAAAATAGAAATAATGGCTGGGGAGAACTCTCCAACACATGTAAGACCATATGAAATTTTTGAAAAAATAATTTTAACCAGGATTACTTCTAAAAGATTATTTTTTTCTGCTTTGTAATTTTCTTTCTTCAGCCTTCCCTCCTTTGCTCCCTTTAAAAAATATTTTCCACTCATTTATCAGTAGTCCCATCTTTTAAAAGTTTCACAAATGCTCTGGGTACTGTGATCTTAACTACCCTGGAGACTGAGCTCTGAAGAATAGAGCTCAAAGGCAGCCTGGGCAGGAAAAGTCTGGTAGACTAAGATAAACAATAAAAAGCATGGCCCTTATGGTAGAGTGCCAGCTGAGCAACCTTCACTCCAAGCCTAATATTGCCACAAAATAAGTTTTACACACTTGTAAGGGAAACTGATGTAAACCACTAACAACATGGAAGATACGTCACATGACAGCTGGGGTGAGCATTTGCAGAGGCACACAGGAAGAGATACACAGGAAGAGGTCAGCCTCTGTCGGTTCTGTTCAAGACTAAGCAAGAATACAGAGTGAGAGTGAAGAACCCCTTTGAGCTCTGACTGTACGACTGTGTAGGAAGACAGAGAATGACAAAAGAAATGGAGACTAAGAAAATCCAGCACGAAAAGACCCATCAAGGATGAAGGAAGGGATTGGAGTAAAGATGTTCCAAGCTGACAACAGATCAGCTATTATAAGAAGTTGCCCACACTTTACACGTGAGTGGAGAAAAATGGAATGGGTGAAGTTTTGTATTGGTTGGCTTAGAGATGCTGGTATGCTATTTAGAAATAAAGGCAGAGAGGATGGACACACAGGATTGTAACATACGCTGGAGTTCTACCAGCAGATACTGAGATACCCCATAGACATTGAAAGTACTTAATGTATCCTTAGGAAGACACTGAAGTTTCTGATATCTAATATCTACTGGCCAGATGTTGGAAACAGAGAGATAATGCCTAGACACTCAGCCTTCAAAGATCTGGAAAAGTCTTGCTGGGAAAAAAATAGACAAGTAGATTATGGCTGTGGTGCACATGTGCAAGTAATTATGGCTGTGGTACATATGTGCAGTGGGTCCTATGGAAATACACGGACAAGGAGCGATAGCTTCTCAGGGAAGTAAGAGTAAGCCGGTGTACATATATAGTATGGGCTGTATATGAAAAGTTGAACTGCCACTAGTCAGTTAAGAAAAGTGGGAGATGGTATTTCTGGTAAATGGCTAGCATATGCCAACGTCAGGTGATATGAATAATGAGGCTTGCCAAGGGAGCTATATTTGCCCCAAATGTGTAGCTTCTGGAGAGAAAGATCAGATCATCAATACTGTAGTAAGGACCATGCCATTTATTTTGAGAAGAAATAAAAAGCCATTTACACATTTCAATGAAATGCTTGGGATTGCTCTATTTTATCTCTTCTTCAGGTTTTACATATCTTTGCAGTATTCTTTTAGTGATTGCCCTGGCAGTACAATGCCCTATAATGGATTCTTTATTTCTACTTATGACTCTAGCTCATCTTTTACAGGCTGAAACACAGGAAGTGTTATTTAGACATTGAGGGCACTTAGATACTGTAGCATCTTTTTAGTATGGGCTCATCCACCAATAATGTCCTACTAGGTTATGTGTTGGAGAAATGAATTTATTTCAGGATATTTTCACCGAGTTTAACACTCTAGATGGCAGGTTTGAAAATTTTCCGCTCTTTAGAGATAACACATTTCTCTGCTCACATAGTTCCTACTTTTAAACCCTAATTTTACTATTACTGATGCTTCTCACTCTGGCTGCTTTAAAGGCCTTTATTTTTGCCTTTCACCAGTTTTACTGTGTTGGACCTACGTAGAGTTGTCTGTGCATTTATATTGATAAGGTTTCCTAGAAATTCTTAAATTTATCATTTTTTAATTGGGAACGATCTCCAGCCATTGTAAATATTTCTTTCCCATTCTGCCCTCCTCTATTATTCATAGATAGTTTAGACTGTTTGTATTACATTGCAGATGGTTTCATGATCACCTTGTCTTTTCATCTTGTCTTTTCATCTTGTTTTCTAGTCTGGGTTTCCATTTGAATTTCTTATACTGACTTACCTTTGAAGTCACCAATCCTCTTCTTTTTGTGGTCCACATTGAAATCCAACTAATTAGTATTCAATTTCTAGTTTTGTGTACTTCTGAAACTGGACACATAACACCATCCCTTTTATATACATTTTTCTTTTCCATGGAAGCTATCCATATTTGAATCCCTTTTTGTTCATCTTTTTGTTTTACTCCTCTCTTCTCCTCTCCTCTCCTGCTCTCATTGCCTTTCTTTTCCCTTCTCCTTCTCCCTCCCCTTTTTTGCCCCTCCTCCCCTCTTTTCTTTCTCTCTGGGCTGGAGAAGTACCTGCAGGATCCTGTTGCTACTGGAGTCTAGTGCTGGAGAGGCCATAGGGCTGTGTATCTGGGCCCAGGAAGAGGAGTGCACTGAGCATGAAAGGAATCTCTCCATCTCTCCTCCAGTGCTCATGTCCCCCCAGTGTCCTCTTATGAAAAGGCTCAACATAGAGCCAGCCCACAAAGAAAGAACTGCTCCCTGGGGCACTTATTCCTTGTGAAAAAGCATGCATTGGAGAATGGATTTGGTGCTTTGGGTAAGACACTATGAATGGCTTCATCTCATCTCATCTTTGTCTTCAGGCATTTTTCACTTTTCCTGGGGTTGTTACCTTAGAACTCACAGTCATTGTCCATGCTATATTAGAAGGTGGTAACCATCTTTTGGATTCATTTATAAAGGGAACTAAACATGGAAGCCATAAATGCATAAATACCAAATCTCAAGAGTAAGAGTGGCTTCAAATGGCAGTTCTACTATTTGCTAGCTGGAGGGCTAGCTGGATCAGTGAAAGTCTCCGTTTCTCAATTTCTTTCGAGGATGTGACCTTTGTGTGGGGTACCGTCTTCATGACATTGTCATAAATGTCGAATGAGGCAACCCACATCACACCTTTAGCACAGTGCGATACAGAGTAAGAACTGGATACATTTTGTTTATGGATAATACATTGGTACTACTATTCATTCCACGAGTAGATGTCACAATTCTGTGGTGTTGGAAGCATAACTGCTGCAGTTTTCTCTACAAAAGATTTATCATGTTGTGAGATGAGAAATAGAGCAGCCACATTTTTCAGGGATCAAATTTGGAGCCTTTATTGGAGTGCCAGTGGTCTGCAGATGACTCCTCTCACAAAGATCTTCAGCCCAGTGAATGCACTTAGCACTGTTAGAAAACTGAGCCCTGAGAGCCG